TTTTGTGAGAGACTGATTTTCCTTGTGGTACGCGAAAGAACTAGCGAGCCAGTATTTTTTGAAAAATCAATCAAAGAAATACAAGTTCTTCCGAAGTGATCTTTTTTCAAGCTGAAGATGATTTAAGCCAATCTTGTTTTGGTTTGTTAGTATCATTTGTCTTTCGAGATGTATCAGTCTACTTATCATTCTTGCCAATGAAACTTACAGATCTTTGCCGTTTAATATTTTTATGCCCTCAGCCGGGGTAAATATGCTCCACAGTCTCCAGCGGTCATACTGAATCTTCCACCCATGCTCCAGCACTTTACTAAAGTGGCCAAAAAATTGGACGCTGTTGAAAGCATAGTGGCATGATAGAGGTGCGCCCAGTTCTTTCTATTCAACGCGCTGAGAACATCGCCAGTGCTATTCGATTTGTATCAGCCGGCAGCCATTCCGCGTGCATTCTGCGGTTGGAAATTGTGGCGCATATTTATCCCGGCTGAAGACATAATAATATGTCAGTTTCACTGGCAAGAATGATGATCACGTAGCTAAAATTGTATCTTGTAACTGAGGAAGCTTACTTTCTGTAGCAGCGTCCAGTTTGCTTGGGCAATGATATTGGTGAATAGCAGCCATTGCAGTAGTGCTTTTTTCTGCGTCATTTTGACATTTACCGGAATCGCACTGCTTTTTCGATGAAAGGATATGCGATGGAAGACATGATTCTGCTATGTGATGTAACTCGATAATTGTAACCAAGTATAGTAAATGTAGCATCTGAAAGTAAGCCGGATAGTATAGCTGTGGTAGTTGTAGCATCTTGGTTACACAATGTAGCATCTTGGTTACACAATGGTTACACAGTACGAGGACTGGCACGATCTAGTCTTGATCAGACTTGTATTACTAGCATGAACTTGGGTCCTGAGGCATGTAAGTGTTGCCGCGCTGAGGTATCTGGGGTGCCCTTTTGTCTGCTAAAGGACAACTCGTTCTGATATCATCAGAGTTGTTTAGTCTATCAATACGAAGTTCGTAAAATTTTGGCCTGTGACTTCAAAAGCTTTGTCCTCTTCCTGCGGTTACTTGCGCCGAACTAGTATCTTTCACCACTATCACGTTATACTCCACGGCCTCTTGGACCTTTTCCAAGCTTCTACATCATCTTTCATCAAAGTGGATATCATGGATGTAGGCACAAAATGGACTGGATTTGATAGAAGCTCATCGGCTATAACGAAGCGCTGTAGCATCATTGAGCAAAGCATCGGTTGCTACTGATTTTAGCTTACTGCAGAACGTTGGCACTACGAGAGGGAAGCAACTGCTCGGACTTCTTCCAGAGCTGTTAGCAACTTTAAATGGTCGGGGGAAAGAGAACTATGCCGATATCAGTGTTTGCACACAGCGATTTAGTTTTAGCATGCAGTTGAAGATGCAGGCTACTTCTCGGTACCATCGATAGTTCCACACTCTCTGAGGCCGTTTATTTGTTTGGGTCAGAGTATTTGCATGAAAAAAGAATTATGAACAAAAAAAAAGAGTGTTACAGCAACTGTTGTAGGAGGGAGAGCAGCAGCAGCAGTAAGAGAAGTAGCGAAGCTGACATCCAGTGAATTGATGGAAGTGTCGTCAAAAAAAGTCACGAGGAACTTGTTTCTCCTTTTGAACGATCGAGGAACAGAAACTGATGAATAGAACACGAGAACTGGAGATGATCAGAGAATGAGAAGACTTCGGTAATAACGATTATTATAATGAATTTAATTAAACCAGTCCATTTTTTTCCCATTATTACAGTAAAAAATGCACTTCTTTTTTAGTAAGTCTGCTCTGTTTCGATCGATAGTCCAGTTCAGCTACGTTCCCATCTGTTTCGTCCAAATTTTCAGAAAGTTTTGGCGCAACAAGCATAACATAATCTCACTAGACTACTGTATTGAGACATTAGGAAACTTAGATTTAAACAAAATAATAACGAAACGATGATTAATCATCTGTCCCAGGCGGAGCACAGTGCCATCGCTTTGCAGCGTAACGAGAAATTCTAGTTTCTGAGCACTGCTGAATGCGCAACTAAACAGATTTTCTATTCTTATGCTTTTTTTCCGTCGTGGTCGTTGTTCTTCTACATCTGAGACCACTTTCTCAAAATTTTTTGTTTCCTACATCCCCTATGCTTCATATTTCATCGCTTGTAAGCAGCACATTTTTGTGATTTGAGAGAGAGCATTGCCGAATAGTTTAAGTCCAGGAATGCATTTGTTTTGCTCCGAAAGATACACATAATCGTCCAGAATTAAGGGGTTGAGTTATACGGAAAATACAGTCCTGAAAATAAACTTGAAAAAAAAAAGCAAAAATTGGGTTGAAAGAAGATTGCATGGCAAAAAGCTCTAAATTTAAGTAATTTTAGAGCAAGAACTGGCATTTGTGAAGTCCGTGCGTGGCTTTTTCCTTAACGAA